CTTGCGCTTCCTAGGTGAGGCGGTGCTTCCTCCGCTTCAGCTCTAACTGGTTGGGCTGCACCCTTGGACCAGCGCCAACTGTCCGACACGACACGCCCCAGTGAGATGAACCCGGTACCTCAGTTGAAAATGCAGAAATCACCCGTCTTCTGTGTTGCTCATGCTGGGAGCTGTAGGCTGGAGCTGTTCCTATTCGGCCATCTTGGGCACGTCCCCCTGCTCTTTGTAGTTCTTCAAAGTGTAAAGTGAGGTTTTTGGTTTGATAGTCTTTCTTTTTTAATGTAGGCATTTGCAGACAAAAATTTCCCTATGAAAACTGCTTTGGATACATCTTGTATGTTTTGTAATATTGTGTTTGATTTGCATCCATTTCAACATATTTTCTGATTTCTGTTGTGTTTTTTTTTTTTTTTAATTAACCTGTTCCTTCTTTAAGCGTGTTTAATTTCCACATAATTGTGAATGTTTCAGTTTTTCTTCTGTTCAGTTCTAATTTGATTCCATTATCGTTGGAGAAGATGCTTGGTGTATTTTCTTATTAAACTTATTGTGATTTGTTTTGTGACCCAACGTTTGGTCTGTCCTGGAGAATGTTCCATGTGCTTGCACTTGAGAAGAATGTATCTTGCTGTTGTTGGGTAGAGTAGTCCATATTTGTCTGTTACATGTGGTTGGTTTATAATGTTGTTTGGGTTCTCTATTACTTGATTGTTCCTCTGCCTAAATGTTCCTCATTTAATGGAAGTGGGAGCTTGAAATTTCTAAGTGTTATTGTGAGCTATTTCTCCCTTTAATTCTTTCAAGGTGTGATTCATATATTTTGGGGACTTTGTTTGATGTATACGTGTTTGTAATTATTGTATCTTTGATGAATTGAGCCTCTTAATAAAAATATAATGACCTTTTTTTTCTTGTCACAGTTTTCTATTGAAAGATATTTAAGTTAATTAATTAATTTAGATACAGGGTCTTGCTTTGCCACCCAGGCTTGAGTGTAATGGTGTAGTCATAGCCTTACTGCAGCCTTGAATTCCTGGGCTCAAGTGATTTTCCCACCACAGCCTCTCGAGTAGCTGGGATTAAAGGTGTGAGCCACCATACCTGGCTAAAGATTATTTTATATGTTAGTATAACCACCCAGCTCTCTTTTGGTTACGAGTTACATGCAATATCTTTTTTCATCCTTTCACTTTCAACCCGTATGTGTCTTTGGCTGTAAAATGTGTCTCTTTAAGGCAGTATGCCTATGGTCCCTGACTTAGGCTAGGTATATTAAATACATTTTTGACTTGGAATATTTTTGATGGGTTTATTGGGAAATAATCAGTCATAAGTTGAGGAGCATCTGTATTGTTGTATCATGTTTTTTTCATCCAATCTGCCAGTCTCTGTCTTTCCTTTGATTAGTTTAATTTCATTTACATTTAACGTGTTTACTGGTAGGCAAGAAGTTCTGCCATTTTGCTATTTGTTTATTGTATGTCTTATACCTTCTGTCCCTTCAATTCCTCAATACTGTCTTCTTTTTTTTCTTTTTTTCTTTTTTTTTTTTGAGACGGAGTCTGGCTCTGTCACCCAGGCTGGAGTGCAGTGGCCGGATCTCGGCTCACTGCAAGCTCCACTTCCTGGGTTCACGCCATTCTCCTGCCTCAGCCTCCCGAGTAGCTGGGACTACAGGCGCCCGCCACCTCGCCCGGCTAGTTTTTTTATTTTTTTTAAGAGAGACGGGGTTTCACCGTCAATACTGTCTTCTTAGTGTTTGTTAATTTTTTTGAGTATATATTTCTATTTCTTCCTCATTTCTTTTTCCAAACATATTTTAGTCATTTTGTTCAGGGCTACCGTAGGGATTACAATTAACATTCCGAATTTAAGACAGTCAAATTTGAATTGACACTAACTTAACTTTAATAGTGTATAAAAACTCTATTCTTATGCAGCTCCATTCTTCATCTTTATGTTATCATTTTCACAAATTACTGTTTTACATACGTGTATTAATTAGCCTAGGTTTATATTTATTTTTATGTGTTTGTCTTTAAATCATAGAGGAATTAAAAAGAGGAGTTAAAAACCAAAAATGCAATTACTGGCTTTTTTCTTTGCTTATGTAGTTACCATTACAAGAGTTTTTTATTTATTTGTATGGCTTCAAATTACTATCGAGTATCCTCTCATTGCAGCCTTTAGGACTCCCTTTAGCCTTTCTCGTAGGGCGAGTCTACTAATGACAGACTCAGTTTTTGTTCATCTGGAAATGTGTTCATTTTTCCTTCATTTTAGAAGGATAGTTTTGTGATATATAGATTTCTTGGTTGACATTTTTTTTTTTCATTTAGCACTTTAAGTACATGATCTTGCTGCCATTTGGACTGCATAGTTTCTGAGGAGAAATTAGCTGTTAATCTATTAAGTATCTCATATATGTGATGAGTTGCTTCTCTCTTGCTGCTTTCAAGGTTTTCCTTTTTTGGCTTTTGACAGTTGGGTTATAATATGTCTCCGTGTGAGTCTCTGAGTTTATCCTAATTGGAGGTCTTTGAGCTTCTTGGATTTATAAATTTGTGTTCTTTATCAAATTTGAGAAGTTTCTGGCCATTACTTCTCGCAGTATTTTTAATATCTTTTCTTTTTCTCATGTCCTTCGGAGAGTCCCGTAGTGTATATGTTGTTCCACTTGATGGTCTCCCACTTTAGGCACTGTTCATTGTTCTTCATTATTCTTTATGCTCCTCAGACTCAATCATTTCAGTTGCCCTATATTCAAGTTTGATGGTTCTTTCTTTGGGCTGCTTACATCCTCTGTTAAACCTCTCTGCAGATGGTTCCCAAATCATGATTGTTTAGCTTACGATATTTTGATTTTAGAATGGTGCAAAAGTGATCCATATTTAGTAGACATCTTACTTTGAGTATCCATACAACCTTTGTTTTTCACTTTTCAGTACAGTACTGAATAAATTCCATAAGCTATTTAACATTTTATTGTAAAATAGGCCTTATGTTAGATGATTTTTCGCAACTGTAGGCTAATATAACTATTCTGAGTACATTTAAGGTAGGGTAGGCTAGGCTATGATGCTTGGTAGGCTAGGTGTGTCAAGTGCATTTTAAACTTATGACATATTCAACTTACAATGATTTTATTGGGACATTACCCCATTATAAATCAAGGAACATCTGTAGTGAATTTTTCATATTGGCTGTTGTACTTTCCACCTTCAAAATTTCTATTTGGTTCTTTGTAATAATTTCTGTTGATTTATATTCTGCGCTCAAATGTTGTTTTCCTGGTTTTCTTTAGTTTTTGAGTGTAAGACAGCTTATTTAACATGTTGGCTTAGTGAACATAATGTCTAGTCTTCTCTTTTCTGTGTATGCTTTGTACATTTTCTGTTTAAAACTTGATGTTTTGAGTGGTATAATGTGGTAACTGTGGAGATTAGATTCCCCCCCCTCCGTGGTTTGTTGTTGATTGTTGAAGATGTAGTTTTCCATTTGTCTACCTACTGTAGTGGGTAGAATTGTGTCATCCAAAACAGTATGTCAATTTCTAATTCCCAGTACCTGCAAATACAGCCTTATTTGGAAATAGTCTTTGCAGATGTAATCAAGTTAAAATTAGTTCATGCTGTATTAGTGTTTGCTCTAACTGAATGATGTGTGCTCTTCAAAGAAAAGAGAAATTTGGACACAGACTCGGAAAATAAGACCGACTAGAGAAGACAATTTGAAGATAGACATAAAGAGGAGAATGCCGTGTGACGATATCTTCTTAGCTGCACCCATATTAATGTAGATTTTCTGTAATGTGGTGTGGGGATTAGAGGTGGAAGATGATCATAGCTCAGATGCCACAAGCTCTCCCTGTTCTTATCAAATTTCAGCAGATTTTTGTTTGTTTGTTTTGAAATGGAGTGTACTCTGTCGCCAGGCTGGAGTGCAGTGGCACAATCTCGGCTCACTCTGCCTCCTGAGATCAAGAGATTCTCCTGCCTCAGGTTCCTGAGTAGCTAGGATTACAGGCAGGTACCACCACTCCCAGCTAATTTTTGTATTTTTAGTAGAGACGGAGTTACACCATGTTGGCCAGGATGGTCTCGATCTCTTGACCTCGTGATCCCCTTGCCTCGGCCTCCCAAAGTGCTGAGATTACAGGCGTGAGCCACTGTGCCCAGCCTAGATTTTCTTGAATAAAAGTTTTTCTGTTTGCTGTATGCCCTTAGATCAATTTCCAGAGACTTTATAATTTTCACTTGTTCTTTCCCTGTTTGGTTTGCTGGGGAGCAGAGTTGCTGAGCTCCTCACATAGTCATTCTCGAAGTCCTGCCTCATCCTTGGTTTTTAAATGTTTATTTTATTGTTTTATTTTTTTGAGACAGAATCTTACTCTGTTGCCCAGGCTGGAGGGCAGTGACATGACCTCGGCTCACTGCAACCTCCACCTCCCTGGTTCAAGCGATTTTCCTGCCTCAGTAGCTGGGACTGAGTAGCTGGGACTACAGGCAAACGCCCCCACGCCTGGCTAACTTTTGTATTTTTAGTAGAGACGGGGTTTCACCATGTTGGCCAGTTTGGTCTTGAACTCTTGACCTCAAGTTATCCGCCTGTTTCAACCTCCCAAAACGCTGGGATTACGGCTGTGAGCCACATGTCTGGCCTTTAAATGTTTATTTTTATTTTTAGAATAAAACGTGTGTGGAGTTGTGTTGTATGTGCAAAACTTTTCAGTTTTACATTAAGCATTGTAGATTTACTGTCATTTTAATTTTAGCTTATTATAACTTTGTTACATAGAAATCAACACAAATAGGATTCTTTGTGAATTAATCTATGTCAATTTAGAGGAACCATTGTATATCTTCTTTGATGGGAATGGACTGGAGTCAGAAACGCAAAGTGAAGTTGTCTTCATTAATATTTTAAATCATTTTCAATTGTAAAAATCCTTTACAGTTTTACTGATTACTAACTTTTGTTCTTTTTTTTTTTAAATGCAGATTTGAAACTAAAATAGATTCATTTCATATTACTGGCTTACCAGATAATTCAGAAAAACCCCGCCTCCTGTCTTCATTGGATGATGCAATGTCACTCTTCCAAATTACATTTGAGATAAATCCATTAGATGAAACTGTTACTCAGAGGTGTATCATAGAAGCTGAACCTTTAGAAATCATATATGATGCAGTAAGTATGTTTTTAAATTACTAAGTTTTAATATAATTTAGTTTGCTTTGAGTTTGTGATAATGATGTTTATCTTAACAGAGGACAGTGAATAGTATAGTGGAATTCTTCAGACCTCCAAAAGAGGTACATCTAGCACAGCTCACTTCAGCAACTTTGACAAAACTGGAAGAATTTCGCAATAAGACAGCAACAGGTAAATGCCAATATTAATGTTGATGAATTAAATGCTGTATCCTATATTAAACTTTTATTTATGGTAGAATATTTTTAGTAAAGTTTATTTTAAATTTATGATATTTCTAGACTGGTTTTAGTTAACAGAAACTAATTTAGTACTTTTATGTTTAAAGGCAGATAAAACCATAATCATTTTTTACACTCAGAAAGTTGATACCTAGTAACCACGTTTAAGTTAGTTTTAGAATTTTGCTTAGGATACTTGGACCACTATTTATGACAAAAACTGGCCTCTCGTTTTCCTTTCTTAGAATGCGTTTCAGATTTTCATATATCAGCCTCAGGGAAAAAAGTTCTATCCTTTTTTATTCTCTAGGAGAGTTTGAATAAGGTCAGGTATTATTTCTTCCTTAAATATTTGGCAGAGCTTAACAGTAAAACCACTTGGTTTTGGAGATTTCTTTGTAGGAAAATTTAAGATTACAGATTGAACTTTTTAATTAAATAGTTGACCATAGAGATTATCTGTATGATTTTAATGCTTTGTAATTGGTTAGGACTTGTTTTCTAACTCAATATATGATGCTAAAAAAAAATGTTCCTCATATGCTGAAAAGCCTGTCTTTTCATATCTGTACCTATTCATTAGGTATGGATTGTTAATCATGTACTTCAAGTTTTTTGTATCCTTTTGTCACCTTGTTCTAACAGTTATTAAGAGAAATACATGAAAAATGCCTCGTTATCAATTGTGGATTTTTCTATTTCTAATAGATCTGTCAGTTTGTTTAAAAAAATAAATTTGGCTGGGCATGGTGGCTCACGCCTGTAATCCCAGCACTTTGGGAAGCCGAGGCGGTTGGATCACCTGAGGTCAGAGTTTGAGACCAGCCTGGCCAACATGGCAAAACCATAATAGAGATGGGGTTTTAATAGAGAGCGGGTTTCACCAGCCTGGGCAACGGAGCGACACTCTGCCACACACACACAACATAATAATAATAAAAATTAAAAAAAATAAATTTTAAGGCTGTCATTAAGTACATGCAGGAGTAAATTATTTTTCCTCCTATAAACCAAATATTTTATCTGTGTAAAGTTGACCACCTATATTTTTAATGCTTTAATTTTTTTCCCTTTGCACTTTTTTACTTTATTTTATTTTTGATCTGATATCAGTATGAAGTACAAAGTTTCTTTTCGTTAGAATTTACCTGGTGTATGTTTTTTCTTTTATTTTTACTTTTTCCCTATATGTTTTCAGATGTGTCAAGTCAACAACAGGTAATAGGATTTTTTCCAATCTAAATTTATGATCTTATTTTTTATTTATATCTACTGTTTGCATTTAATTAATGTATTTAGGCTTATGTCTAACAACCTATTTTGTGCTTTTGAATTTGGTTTTCCTTGTTTTATTTTTCTTGCCTTCCTTTGGATAAATTCTAGGATGCCTTTCTTCCCCCTTCCCTACATTCGATCGGGAAGTTAAATATTCTCTATCTCTTTTTATTTTAGAAATTACAGTATACATTTTTATAAAAATATAAATATAATGAATAATTTTATATTCTCCTAGTCATTATATGGACTTTAGTACTGTTGAACTTTATATACTATCCCCATATACTAATTTTTGTACTTAAAAAAAACTTTATTGGACTATATGCGTATAGTTCATGGTAGTTTAGAATTACTTATGCATTTACTACCTTCTTTGCTCTTCATTTCTCTTACACCTACACTTTTTATCTGATTTTATATTCTTTCTGTTGGAAGTTCATCTTTTTTTTTTCCTTTTTCCAACCTCCGTCTCCTGGGTTCTAGCAATTCTCCTGCCTCAGCCTCCTGACTAGCTGGGATTGCAGTCACCCACCACAATGTCTGGCTATTTTTAAAAAAAATTTTTAATAGAGATGGGATTTCACCATGTTGGCCAGGCTGCTCTCAAACTCCTGACCTCAGGTGATCCATCTGCCTCGACCTCCCAAAGTGCTGGGATTACAGGAGTGAGGCACCGTGCCTGGCCTGGAAGTTCATTTGTAAACTTTCCTTGTAAATATTTTATCTTGTAAGAATCTGCTGGTGGCAAATCTGTGCTTTTTTTTTTTTTTTTTTGATACAGAGTCTTGCTCTGTCGGCCAGGCTGGGGTGCAGTGACATAATCTCGGCTCACTGCAACCTCTGCCTCCTGGGTTCAAGCACTTCTTTTGCCTCAGCCTTCTGAGTAGCTGGAATTACAGGGGTATGCCTCCATGCCCAGTTAATTTTTGTATTTTTGCTAGAGATGGAGTTTCACCATGTTGGCCAGGCTGGTCTGGACCTCCTATCCTCAGGTGATCCATCTCCCTCAGCCTCCCAAAGTGCTGGGATTACAGGCATGAGCCACCATGCCCCATTGTATATTAGTTTGGCATGAAACTACTGCATATAGAATTAAAGGTTGATGTTCATTTTCTCCTTAACAGATTGAAGAGGCCATTCTGTCTTTAGGTTTTCATTACTGATGTTGAGAATTCAGGTGTCAGTGTGTCTGCTATTTTTTTGTACATTATCTACCCTTTTACATTCAAGAACTTTTTATCTTTTGTATTCTGTTGTTGCAATTTGGTGTATCCAGCTATAGATTTGCTTTATATATCCTTTTTGGGATTCATTGGATTTCATGAATCTGAGTACTGGGATTTTTAATGAATTGTAATGATTTCTAGAAAATCTGTCTGGAAAATTATTAGCCACTAACTCTTTACATATATTCTCTTCTGGAATTCTGGCTAAATGAATTTTAGCCTTTCTTACTCCATCTTCCATTCTCCTTAACTTCTGTATCCTGCTTTGTTTCCATCTGTTCTTCTCTGTGTTACATGCTGGGTCATTTCTTCTAATTTATCTTTTAGTTTACTGAGTCCTTTTTTAGCCATGTCCAATGTGGTATCAAATCTCTTCATTAAGTTTAATTTCAGTGATTATATTTTTCCCTTTAGGAATTCTGTTTGGTTAAATTTAAAATCTGTGTTGTCATTCTTTTTTGGTTTTGTATTTCCCATGGATATCTTTACACTTGTCGTCTTTTTTTTTTTTTTAGAGATCATAAGTACAGTATTTTATATTCTGTCTCACCAGTTAGTTCTCTCTCTTCAGATAGTCCGTTATGTGAAGGCTTTTGTGGTTCTCTTTTTCCTATCTTCTGTCTTTTGTTTCTTTTGATTCTTACTCATGGTAATGTGTGTCTTTTTATGCTTGGTAATTTTTCATTGTAATCTGCTCATTTTCCTTAGAATATTATTTGGGAGAATTCTCTGAAGCCTGAGATAACTGAGCCTTCATTCAGGGAAGATTTATATTTCTTCTGCCAGGTACCTTGGGTATGTTGGTGGCATAACTAAATTCATTGCTTAAGACATTCTGGACTGCCAAAGAATTGTTGGGCTGCATACCTCCTTGAGGAATGTATCATAGTTACAATTCACAGAGGTATTACCTTTTTCTTCTAATTTTTCTCAGGGCCTTTGTTTGCATCCCCCTGTGAGTGTGTTTTAGGGAGAGGAAGGTTTAATTTCAGGATTATTCTTTGTTTGAGTGAGTGTCCTTTAATGTTTCAGATTTGTGAGGAGAACTCTTGCTAGACTCTCCATCTTTGTCTTCTGTTTCCCCTGTTCTGAGAGGCTGAAATTCTCATTGGAGTAAGATCCAATTTCATTGTCAGAGTTTTAAAATTCTGGTTTTGTTAAGTCTGGAGTACACTTCTAATTGAACTCAGAATTTGTCCCATTTTGGTGGCTATAAAATCTGGCATGAAATTATAGTTTTTCTCTTGCCATTTTTATTATATTCACTTTATCCTTGTTGGTAGATATGAGATATACTATCTGTCATTTTCCTTTGTTCTCTCTCCTAAGATAAAACAATTTAGATAAGTGAGTCAAGAAATCACTTCACATTTTGATAAGACCTTCAGGAAATGTCTAACTAGTTGTCTTTTGTTAGGCTATATTGTAATATGCATCTTGATTCATTATTAATTTTTCTTTTTTTTCACGGAAAAGTATGTGTTATATTCTTCAAAATATATGTGTCTTTCTTCTCTGGCTTTTGCTCATTTTTCTCTACTATTTTTATATCCGAATGTTTTAAATTAGATCGTACGTGAATACCTTACCTCTAGAAACTGTAGGGTTTGCATTTATTCCTGTATTCTTTGTTAAAATCTGGGAATTCCATTTCTAGTTCACATTCTGTATATTGGTATATTATATACTGAGTAGAAACCAAAGCATAAGATCAGGCTACTTCTAGTCAGTTGTTCTTGATTGATAGAAACTCATAAATACAAATTAATCATATTGGAAACACACTACAGACATCCAGATTTTGAGATATTTTTATTTCTTAAGATTTGTTTTCCTAAACTTTATTACTTAAAAAAATTACCAATCAGTAAATATCCACAATATAAAGTTCACATGTTACAGAAACATGTTTTAGAAAGTGGAAGTCTTCAGTATTTTAGCTTCTGTACATAATAACCTCTAAAATTTGAAGTCTGTTCTTCCAACTTTGTTTTCTTTTCTATACCAATAGTATAAAAATGCTAATTCTATGAAAAAAATGGAAAGCTTCTGTGATAGGTTTTTGTGCTTAATTTTTTAAATTTTTTTTTTTTTTTTTTTTTTTTTTTGAGACGGAGTCTCGCTCTGTCGCCCGGGCTGGAGTGTAGTGGCCGGATCTCAGCTCACCGCAAGCTCCGCCTCCTGGGTTTACGCCATTCTCCTGCCTCAGCCTCCCAAGTAACTGGGACTACAGGCGCCCGCCACCTCGCCCGGCTAGTTTTTTGTATTTTTTAATAGAGACGGGGTTTCACCGTGTTAGCCAGGATGGTCTCGATCTCCTGACCTTGTGATCCGCCCGTCTCAGCCTCCCAAAGTGCTGGGATTACAGGCTTGAGCCACCGCGCCCGGCCAATTTAATGTATTTTGGATTTTTTCTAGAAAGTTAAAATTTACCTATTTGTGAAGGGACTCATATATGTTATAATGACTCAGGTTACTTAGGTTCTTTCCTTCCCTCATTTTCCTCCTTTCTTCCTTTTATTTTGTTACATTCTCCTCTATTAATATCCTGGTTTCTTTGTTGTATTATAAGTTGAATATCCCTTAGCTGAAATGTTTGGGATCAGAAATATTTCAGATTTCTTTGGATATTGGAATATTTGCATTTTACTTACTTGTTGAACATCCTTAATTGGGAAATATGAAATTCAGAGTGTTCTAAGAAGCATTTTCTGTGAATATGATCTTTGAGCATCATGTTATTGTGGTGCTGAAAAAGTTTTAGATCCTGAAGCATTTTGATTTTGGATTTTCAGATTAGGGATGCTCAGCTTGTTATTTCCCCCTTCCTTTCTAGGAACTCAAGGTCTTTCGGGTCTTTTTGTTGTCGAGTATGGCACGAGCTTACAGAACCTGCTCAACTAGTTATCCTTTGTCTCTGGCAGGAAAACAGATGTGATCATTTGCTAAAACTCTTCTTTCATAGTACAAGGTTCTCTGATAGGATCATAGCAAATCATTTTCTTTCAGTTATTTCATTTATTTACTCATTTAAATATATATAAAGAGTCTAATCTATATGTCAGACGCTGTGCTAGGTTTTAGGGAACATAGCAATGACCAGAATGGATGTAGTTCTTGCCTATTGATGGATGTTACACTTTTATGGATAGGACAAATATAAAACTAAGAGCAATCTACTGGAAAATTTTGATTAATGCCATATGGGTCCAATCAGGAGAGTAAAACCACACAGTAATTTTGATGGGTATATTTAATGTAATGAATTATTAACTGTAATGAAGGATTGTTTTGTTACTCCAAAGAGTAAATTTAAAGAATATAGCAAGGGGCCAAGTGCCGTGGCTCATACTTGTAATCCCAGAGCTTTTGGTGTCCGAGCGGGGAGGAACACTTGAGGTCAGGAGTTGGAGACCAGCCTGGAAAACATAGTAAGACCCTGTCTCTACAAAAAATTACAAAATTTGTCAGGTTTGGTGGCGGGTACCTATTGTCCCAGCTACTTGGCAGGCCAGAGACTGGAGGATTGCTTGAGCCCAGGAGGTCAGGACTGCAGTGAGCTGTGATAGCAACTCCTACATTGCAGCCTAAGTGACAGAGTGAGATGCTGTCTCCAAAAATACATGTATTTAAGAAGAGTAGTTATAAGGAATATAGAATTGAGACAGTGTTCCCTAGGAAGAGGTCTCTGTCTTCCCTGAGAATTGAAATCCACATCTTGTTGGAGAAGGAACCTCTGTGAGTCACTGAATGGCAGAAAAGCCATGCTGGTGTCTTTCTGGTAACCTGCTCTCTAAAACTCTCTGGAAATCCATCCTCTGAGGTGAAAAGGGAAAAATATTCATTCATGGGGCAACGTCTCACTGCCCTCTTTCTGCTGTGAAACCACCTGAGGAGGCTTCTAGGGGCAGAATACTGGCTTTTGAGTGCTGTCGGCCCTTGTGCACGGCATGCATTGTGTTGGAGGAAGGCGCGGTGTTGCAGGATATTGCTAAATGAGTGTACTGGAACCAGGAAGCAAACTCTTTTCTCCTGCAGTGTCTCTCCTGTGTTCATTATCTATTTCAGTGCTAGTTGGCAAAGAAAAATCATTTCAGCAACTCAAATCTACTTTCACAGAGCAGACAAGTGGGTGAATTTGGAGCTGAGTGAGGAAACAATTCTATAATCAGCCCAAATGCTGTTAAGGAAATGAGAATGATAGATGCCCCAATTTAGTTTTGGTGGTAGTGTCAGAGAAGATCTCTGAAAATTCAGCATTAAGACCAGATATATTTGTAGGATCCACACTGCTAAAGGGTATAAGAAAGAGCCTTCAAGGTGATAGTCAACTGTGAAGAGCTTAACTTAGCAAACAGTTGGGTGAATTTGGAAGTTGTGGAAAGCTGAACTGGTTCTAATGTAATGAGTGAGGGGAGAGCGGAGGGATGTTAAAGATGCATACTCTTGATTATGCAAAAATGAAAATCATATTAAGCAGTTAGGATTTTGTTGTAAGTGCAATGGAAAATAGGGGAGAGACCCAATACACTTAAGCTCAAAATAAAATACTCTCCACTCTCTTCCATTAAAAATAACTTAGAGAAATCATTGTGTCCTGGCATCAAGAAAGGCTTTGTTGAAACTAAGGCTTACGGTAGAACTTCCAAGGAGTACCAGAACTTTGATTTGTAGAGGCCAGAATACATGAGGAATCCTTAGACTAGAGATGGAAATGAAGATAGAGAAATGCTTAACAGACAGACCCTGGAGAATCTTGAATGTCAGATTGACCCTTCTGGATGCTTCTTGTTGCTTTAGTAAAATCATGCCATCTGTGTTTGAATCCAAATCATTTGGAGAAAAAGAATGAATAACTGTTTGAGTCAATTCTGCTCTTAAGTTTCAGGCTAATTGGATGATCTTCAGAATTTTTGATGATCTGTCAGTCTGTTTTCAAACCTCTATCTCATCTCTCCTCCCATCCTCATTTTAAGAGATTTCACTTGAATTTGCTTCTTACAGGCTATGGGAAATGCCAAGGTTTTTTCTTCCTCTCTCTACTAGAGCCTTGCTTGGGCTGCCTGGGCAAGGCCACTGGAATCCCTTAAAGATGACACAGTTTTGATTATAGTTTCTCATATTTCAAGGAAGAGCCGTCCCAGATATAATTTATTAGTGTTATTTTTATAAAGAATACTGGAGGCAGTGTAATTTGTGAAGAAAAGAGGTTTATTTGTTTCATGGTTCTACAGGCTGTACAAGAAGCATGACTCCAGCATCTCCTTTTGGTGAGGGTTTCAGAATGCTTCCACTCATGGCAGAAAGGGTTAGGGAGCCCACATGTGCAGAGATCACATGGCAAGGGAAAGGAAGGAGGTGCCAGGCTCTTTTAAACAACAAGCTCTAACTCACAGAGCAAGGACTCAGTCGTTACCATGAGGACAACACCAAGCTGCTTGTGAGGACTCTGCCCCCGTGACTCAGACAGCTCTTATTAGGGTCCCACCTTCAACATTAAAAATCAGGTGTCAGCATGAGTTTTGGAGGGGTGAAACACCAAACTGTAGCACAGACTTAGATTACTTATTTTCTATTTTAATTTAAATAGATATTTAAAACAGAAGATATTTTAATTTCTTTTAATTTATTCATTTTCCTTTCTGTTGGCTTGTATATCAAGCTGATTATGTGTTGGCACTTGACACTTGTTTGGTGTCTGCTTTTAAGCTTTGTAATTGTGTATATATATTTATTTGTAATTTTAAGTACATTAAAATTGTTGACATATTCTTTAATTTGGACATGTATTCTTTAATGATACATTCTTAACTTTAAAGGTTATATTAAAAGGTACCGACCTGCCTACGTTTTGTGTGTGTGTGTGTGAAAAACTGTGCCTTTTTGTTTGAGTGTCAGATCTTTTTAAACTTTGTAAGTCAAATATCTTTTATTTACTCAAACTGATTTGATGGCTGCTCATATAATTTTTTATTTTAAGAAAGGGTTCTCATCTCATAGAAAATAATTTGTTTAGATTTAAAAGCTGATGCTGGACTTAGGGACATAAAATAGATGACTTTGGTATCCTAATCACATGCAAGTGAATGAATTAAATTTATTAAACTAAAAAACTCCAAGTGAATGAAGGACCTAGGGAATGGGAAACTCTGGTTTGTTGCCTTTTCTGGTTTACATATGATTTTATTGAAGATGATTTGATAATCCAGGATTTTTTATATTCTCAGAATAATACTAAGATCAAGTATTATTGTTCAGTATGGTAAGTGTAGCTCTATGAAGTTTATGATTTGAGAAGTATCTGTGTAGATTCTAAGAGTTGTTGTGAATAAATGTTTTATGCCACTGAAACTTTTTTGTTTTTTTTGGTCTATATCTTTCTTCCCAATTTTACCAAAATTGAGTTTATAGGTTAAAAATTTTTTTTGAGGAATTACTCCAATTTTGTACTCAGCTATATTTAAATAGGAGTGCACGCATTGGCAGATATTTTAAATTTTATATTGGAAGTATTTTGCTGAGATCATTTTTAAATTAATACTAATTTTACATTAAGATTGTTTTATCAGTTCATATATTTAGTGATTCTATATTTCTCGAGTAATTTGTGAAAAGTATTCATAGAAAATATTTACATTTTTTCCAGGTCTACTGTATATTATTGAAACACAGAAAGTTCTTGATCTCAGAATTAATTTGAAGGCTTCATATATTATTGTCCCACAAGATGGAATTTTTAGTCCTACATCAAATCTGCTTCTTTTGGACCTTGGTCATCTTAAGGTATATACTAATAATATTTGATTTATGTTATAGCATTTAGGGTGTTTCTTTGTTTAAAATGTATTTTGTTTTTTAGACAGTTTGATTTGTTGGTTTTTTTCCTGTATTTGTGGTAGATAAGTAAGATTTGAGAAATCTTCCTTTCTGATAAACAAAGTGAAGTCTCAATTAGGTAGTTTTCCTACACTTATGAAAACAAAATGACCAATTAAACTCTGCAGGGTCAGGTTAGAATCTAAGATTTTTGATTGATTGATTGATTGATTGATTGATTGACTGATTGATTGATTGATTTGAGACACAGTCTTGCTCTGTCGCCCAGGCTGGAATACAGTACTGTGACCTTGGCTTACTGTAACCTCTGCCTCCTAGGTTCAGGTGATTCTCAGGCCTCAGCCTCCTATCTGGGACTACATGTGCCCACCACCACACCCGCCTAATTTTTGTATTTTTAGTAGAGACAGAATTTCACTATATTGCCCAGACTGGTCTCGAACTCCTGTACTAAAGTGATCCACTTGCATTGGCCTCCCTAAGTGCTGGGATTACTGGCGTGAGCCCCCACACCTGGCCCAAATCTAAGATTTATATTTATAGTATTTGAGAGTCATGCTTGAGAAGCTTATTTCTTTCTCAATTTAGATCTATTACTTGACTACTTAAAGTATATAGAATGAGAGAGAATTCTGGAAACAATCAAATACATCTTCATCTTTCTGAAATTTTTTGTATGTAAAATTATATATAGAGAGACATTTTAATATTTGTATTAAATAATTCTAAATTGAGAAATGGCCTTCCTCTGTTTACCTAAGTCACTTCCTTTTTTTCTTTTTTCTTTTTTTTTTTTTGAGACGGAGTCTGGCTCTGTGGCCCAGGCTGGAGTGCAGTGGCGCGATTTCAGCTCACTGCAAGCTCCGCCTCCCGGGTTCATGCCATTCTCCTGCCCCAGCCTCCCGAGTAGCTGGGACTACAGGCCCCCTCCACCATGCCTGGCTAACTTTTTTGTATTTTTCAGTAGAGATAGGGTTTCACTGTGTTAGCCAGGATGGTCTTGATTTCCTGACCTCGTGATCCGCCCGCCTTGGCCTCCCAAAGTGCTGGGATTACAAGCATGAGCCACCGCGCCTGGCCCTTTTTTCTTAATTATATACTTTTTTCTTTCCAAATTTTCAGTGGAGAATACATTTTTTTGTGGTATTCTAGATCTGTACTCTTCACTATAGTACCCACTGACCAGCCACATGTGGTTATTTAAATTAATTAGAATTAAATAAAATTAGTTCAGTTTCTTAGTCATATTAGCCACATTTAAGAGTTTAATAGTCAGAAGTGGCTAGTGGCTACTGTATTTTTTGTTTTTGTTTTTGAGACATAGTCTCACTCCGTTGTCCAAGCTGGAGTGCAGTGACATGATTTCAGCTCACTGAAACCTCTGCCCCCGAGTTCAAGTGATTCTTCTGCCTCAACCTCCCAAGTAGCTGGGATTTCAGGTGTGCACCACCATGCCCAGCCAATTTTTGTATTTTTAGTAGAGATGGGGTTTCACCATGTTGGTCAGGCTGGTCTTGAGCCCCTGACCTCAAGTTATCCACTGTCATTGATCTCCCAAAGTGTTGGGATTACAGGCGTGAGCCACTGTGCCCGGCCTGTATTTGAAAGCCTTGATATAGAACATTTCCGTTATTGTAGAAGTTCTATTAGACAGCATTGCTGTAAATCATTAAATATAGAGGAATATCTATCACAATTTAAAGAACCAAGAGAGGTGGATAATATTAGAATGCTGTTTCTGGCCACCTAACAAAAATACGTGCCTGTCCTTGGTACTGACATCTTCCCTTATCCTATTTTTTAAAATTCTGCATTTGTTAATTGTGTAAACACCCACTGGGTATATATTTATAATAAAATTTATACAGCTTGTTATTCACATTTGAATTTTCAGTTGTTTCAAGGGCAGTGTGGTATAAAAAAGCATAAAGTTAGGAGTAAGGATATCTAATTTTGTGATTTTAGGCAATTTGCTTAACCTGTTACCTAAAATTGATTACTTTTCAAACAGAGATAATCTTTTTTTGAGGATTTACTTCACATGAGCTATATAGAGGGAAAAAAAGTTAAAAAATATATGTGTACACACATGTATTTTTATGAGTAAGAGCTTTATGTACTATTGTGGAGTCATCTCCAGGGTGTTTTAAGTGAGAAAAGTAATGTGCACAGTATGCCAAGAAAGGAGAGATGCAAATATAACTTGCCTGGAGTTGCATAAATGGCAGAGTTGGAACTAAAATTCAGCTATCCTATTTAATTCTGGACTCTTTTACTTCTTATTGTAAAGCTATATCAGTATTTGTCATACTGTAGAAACATTTTATAAGCTAAATTTGTCTCTTGATCTTGCTCTTAATGAGAAGGCCTCTTATCACATTTAAAAAATTTGTACACGTATTATTCTTCAGGACCATCTTGGTTTCTTTCTTTTAATGTAAGTAAATGGGAAATATATCCTAATATGTAAAAATTTATTTTCTCTCTCTCATCATATACCTCATGGATGAGGACCTTTCTAATAGCCTTATTATGTATGCTTACTTGTGAATTTATCCTCTCATATTAACATTTTATATTATAGGTCTAAAAATTAAAACTTTATACTTACATTTTGAAGTATTTTGCATAGTCTAAACTATTAAAATTAACTTGAAGGTGACAAGTAAAAGTCGTTCTGAATTACCAGATGTGAAACAAGGTGAGGCCAATCTTAAAGAGATAATGGATATAGCTTATGATTCCTTTGATATTCAACTTACAAGCATACAGCTGCTTTACAGTAGAGTTGGTGAGTATAAAATGCATTATCTGTTGATTGATTTTGTTGAAGTGATTAATTAGGTTTTTAGGCACTTTGAAGACCTTCCTCTTAAATGTGTTAGAACTTCTATGTTTTTGAATTAGAAATGATAGTAAATATTGGTTAGCTGTTCTTACCAGGAGCGGTCTTGCCCCCCAAGAGACATTTGTTGATATCTGGAGACATCTTTGGTTGTTACAGATAGAGGGTGTGTGGCACTCCTAGCATCTAGTGGGTGAAGGTGAGGGATACTACTAAGCATCCTACAATATACAAGCCAGTCCCTCATGACAAATATCAGTAGTGCTGAAGTCGAGAAATCCTGATCTATATCAGTGTTTTTCAGCCTTTGACCAAAGTTGGCCCATATTGAAAATGATATGTATTATTACACAGCTGGATAACCAGAAGATATTGCTCAGGACCAGAAGTAAGCAGCCTGGGGATTCTGACAGTCATGGACAGCCATACAAAGACTGACGAGGGTCACTCTCCTTGGCATACTTGTATCTCATTCACTGTGGTGTACCAGTCAGGAGTCTCTGATTTAGAGCTAGTTTTTAAGATGAAGTCAAAGCCAGAAATTCACATGACAAGAGCCTTTTAAGTAGTTAGGAAGAGACCCCAGACTCATTCAGCTTTCTTTTCATTCTGTTATACTGCTTTTGAATCCCTAGAGTGTTAGTGAACATGCAGATAATTCAATAAAGTTTGATCTGTTGAAGAGATCCATATGTAGAGATCTGTATGTTTGTATGCGGTCAGATTTTAATTGCCTGAGCTAACCAATAAAAGGAGAAACAATGAGAATCCAAAGTAGTTACTATCAAAATTGTTAATTTGTATGGGACTGAAACATTTTATTTCTTTAATTATATTTGCTTCAGGATAGTGAACATAGTTTGTATTTTTATCATATTCTAATTGTGGTGGAGGAAACCCAAAGGTATAGTGGGTGGCAAAAGTACATTATTTTTAAAGTCCATAAATTCTTTTCAGGGAATAAATTACTGGGTTTGGTTTTCCTTGACTGGAATTTAATGACTCATATAATTATTGGGTTCAAATGAGATAGTATATGTGAAAATGCATTATATGACTGAGATCCCATTAATCTTGTTATGAATTTTTAAAGTTATTTCTTTCTGATTATACCTATTTTAGAAAATCTGAACAATTCATAAACCAAAAAGATAAACCTTTATGTTACTGCTTAGGCAAGAGCACCATTGATATTTTGTTGCATATTCTTTTAGTATGTTTTTCAGTGTATGTGCCTGTGAATATGTGGGATGTGCTTGTTTGGTGTTTATATTGGAAGTATTTGTGAATGTATTTTTTTTACATGATTTATACAGTTTTATATCCAGATATTTTTTCTTTTACCAGTAATATTTTGGTCACTTGAACTCATGGTTTTTATTGTCTATATTATGCTATATGGCTATGGTCTCAGTTATTTAACCATTCCCTTATGGAACATTTAGGCTTGTAACTCTGCAGTGATTGTTGCCAGGGTGGGGGTCACGTGTTAGTAGACCTCAATTTTATCACTAGCAGATTAATCACAGGCAAGTTATAAATTCTTTTGAGTCTCAGTTTTCTAAAGTGGGATTATTATATATCATTTTGAGAATTAACGTTTAAACATTGCCTAGAAGAGTAGAAATTATAAATTAATAAATGGTAGCTTTTATTAGTTACTGTTAAAGAACCTCACTTTTTACTACCTTTTGCATTACTGCCTTACTGCCATGTTACTTTCTTGGGTAAGGTATATGGTTGGTGTAGTGATTGTCAGTGGGTGTACAGTAGATTTGATGATAACCTACTGATTGTGTGTACCTGAGAATGTGACATTAAGATTACCTAGATGTGGGGAAATTTTCTTATATAATGGAATATGTGACTATAAAGTATTAATAGTAATTTTAGGTTTTGTGTGTTTTTCATATTATAGTTTCATTAAGTATGTTATTAAATATGAACCATTTTCTGTACTTAGGTGATAATTGGAGAGAAGCACGAAAACTCAATGTATCTACCCAGCATATTTTGGTACCCATGCACTTCAATTTGGAACTGTCTAAGGCCATGGTTTTCATGGATGTAAGGATGCCCAAGTATGTATTGTTTGTTGCGTGTGACTGTGGATTTTCTGGGTAATTCTGTAGCTAGGGAAATACCATACTTAATGTGTGTGTGGTAAAATGTATATAAAATTTACCATTTTGACAATTTTTAAGAGTATACTTCATTGTCAGTAGATTCACACATGCTGCTGTTATGCAACCATCACCACCGTTCATTTCCAGAACTGTTTCTCTTCCAAACTGAAACTCTATACCCAGTTAAGCAATAACACCCCATTCGCCCTGCACCCAGCCCCTGACAACAACCATTATACCTTCTGTCTTTATGAATTTGACTATTTTAGGTACGTCATATAAGTAGAATCATAGAAAATTAGATTTTGTGTGCCTGGGTTTCTTCACTTAGTATAATGTCTTCAAGATTCACCATGTTGGAGCATATGTCAGAATTTCATGTATTTTTAAGGCTGATTAATATTCCTTATATGTATACACTATGTTTTATTTATTCATCCTTCAGTGGACATTTGTGTTGTTAATGCTGTTTGGCTGTTGTAATAATGCTGAGGTACAAAATATCTGCTTAAGTCCCCGATTTCAGTATTTTCGGGTATATACTCAGAAGTAGAATTGCTGGATTATATTGTAGTTTGGTGTTTAAGTTTTAGAGGAGTGCTATTCTGTTTTTTATAGCAGTTACACCATTTTACTTTCCTACCAGCGCAAGGGTTTGAATTTCTTCACTGCCTCTACAATACTTGGTATTTTCTGTTTTGTTTTTGTTTTTGTTTTTGTTTTTTTTAATAGTCATCCTAATAGGTGTGAAGTGATGTCATTTTCTTAATGCTTAGTGATGTTGAACATCTGTTCTTGTGTTTGTTGACCATTCATGTATTTATTTGGAGAAATATGTATTCAAGATCTTTGCCCATCTTTTAATGTGGATATTTATTTTTTTCTTTTTTTTGAGATGAAGTCTCGCTCTGTTGCCCAGGCTGGAGTGCAGTGGTGCGATCTTGGCTCACTGCTACCTCCACTTCATGGGTTCAAGTGATTCTCCTGCCTCAGCCTCCTGAGTAGCTGGGACTACAAGCGTGTGCCACCACGCCCGGCTAATTTTTTGTATTTTTGGTAGGGACGGGGTTTCACCGTGTTAGCCAGGGTGGGCTCGATCTCCTGACCTTGTGATCCACCCACCTCAGCCTCCCAAAGTACTGAGATTACAGGCATGAGCTGCCGCGCCGGCCTGAGTTGTGAGAGTTTTAAAGTATATTTTGGATATTAATTCTTTGTCAGATATATGATTTGCAAATATTTTTTCTCACTCTGGGTTTCCTTATCACTCTGTTGATTGTGGCCTTTGATGTCTAAAAGTTTAAAATTTTTATTGTCCAGTTTATCTTAGTTGTCTATGTGTTGGTGTCCTATCTAAGAAATTATTACGAAATCCAATGTCATAAAGCTTTTCTTCTTTGTTTACCTTAAAGAGTTTTAATAGTTTTAGCTTCTTTTATTTAGATCTTTGATCCATTTGAGTTAATTTTTGTATGTGGTATGTAGAATAAGGACCCACCTTTATTCTTTTGCATGCAAATATCTCATTTTCTCAATATAATTTGTTGAAAAGACTGTCCTTTTCTCATTGAGTGGCCATGGTACCCTAGTTGAAAATCATTTGTCCATATATGCAAGAGCTTATTTTTGGGCTTTCTGTTTTATTCCATTGATCTCTATGTCTTTATTTTCCTGTACCACACTATTTAGATTACTGTAGCTTTGCAGGAAGTTTTGAAATCAGGACATGTGAGTTATTTAACTTTGTTCTTTTTCAAGATTGTCTTGGCTGTTCAGGATCCTTTGATATCCCATATGAATCTTAGGATGGAGTTTTCTTTTCTTGCAAAAAATGTTATAGAGATTCTGATAAAGAGTGTATCAAACCTGTAGATCCCTTTGAATAGTATTGACATCTTAATAATATTGACTGTTACAGTCCATGAACATGGAATATCTTTCTGTTTATTTGTGTCTTCTTTGATTTCAACAGCATTTTCTAGGTCTCAGTACTAAAGTCTTTTGCCTCATTTCTTAAATTTATTCTTTCTGATGCTATTGTAAATGAATTTAAAAAATTTTTTTTGGATTGTTTATTGTTAGTGTATGGGAACTTAACTGATTTTTATGTCCTGCAACTTTGTGAATTTGTTTACAATTCTAAGTTTTAGGATTCTAAAGTTCTAACAGATTTAAGATTTTCTACATATAAGATCCTATCATCTGTGTACAGAGGTAGTTTTTTTCCCTTTCTGATATGGGTGCCTTTTTTTCTCTTTCTTGCCTAATTGGTCTGTCTAGAATGTTTTAACACTCTCTTGAGTAGAAGTGGTTTAGGTTGGCATCCTCACCTTAATCCTGAGCCCCGAGGAAAAGCTTTCAGTATTTCACCATTGAGTATGAGGTCAGCTGTGGGGTTTTTATGGATGACCTTTATTATGTTGAGGTAGTTTCCTTCTGTTCCTAGTTTGCTAACTTTTTGTTACGAAAATGTGTTGAATTTTTTCAAATCCTTTCTCTGCTTTGAGATGACCATGTGATCATGTGAAAAATGATCAAGATGATTTTTTTTTTCCTTCATTCTCTTAATGGGGTATATTACCTTGATTGCTCTCTATATATTAAATCATATTTCTTGTGTCCAGCAAAAAATCCTTTTATTCTAGGAATAAATCCTCTTATTCCAGGAATAAATAAATTCCAAGAGTAAATGATATATAAACCATTTAATGGGCTATTGATTTAGGTTTGCTTGTGCTTTTGTTGAGTTTTGCATTAATATTTTTCGGATATATTAGACTGCAGATTTATTTTCTTGTAGTATCTTTGTCTGGCTTTGATATCAGGGTAACGCTGTCTTTATAAAATGAATTAGAAAGTATTCCTGCCTCTTCGGTTTTTGATTGTTTGGTAGAATTCACTATTGAAGATCATGGGAGATTTTCTTTGTTGGGAGGTTTTTGATTACTGATTCAATCTCCATAGTAGTTTATCCAGATTTTGTTTCTTCATAATTCAGTGTTGGTAGATTTGTGTTTCTTGGAATTTGTTTCATTTAGATTATCCAATTTGTTGGTGTAAAATTGTTTATAATCGTCTCTCTCTTACAACCCTTTTTGTTTTGTAAAATGAGTAATAATGTTAACCACTTTCATTTCTGATTTAAATTGTCTTTTCTCTTTTTTTCTCAATCTAACTAAAGGTTTTCAATCTTGATCATTTTGAAGAACCAACTCACATTTTTGTTGATTTTTTCCTCTATTGTTTTTCTATACTTTATTTTATTTATCTCTGCTTCCATCTGTTTTTTTTTTTTTTTTTAAATTTCTGCTAGCCTTAGGTTTAGTTTGCTGTTCTTTTTCTAGTTCCTTAAGGTGTAAAGTTAGGCTATTGATTTTAGGTCTTTCTTCTTTATTAATGTAGGTGTTTACAGCTATAAAATCCCCTTTTGGCAGACTTTTGCTGCATCCTATGAATTTTGGTATGTTGTATTTTCATTTTCATTTGTCTTGAGTTATTTTCTAATTTCCCGCGTGATTTCTTTGATCTCATTGCTTGTTTAACCATCCGTTTTTAAATTTCTACACACTTGTGACTTCTACGTCTTTTCCTTCTACTCTTGCATTCTAGACTCATTTCATCATTATTGGAAAAGATACTTCTTATGATTTCACTGTTTAGACATTTTTTGACACTCATTTTTTTACCTGACATATAATCTGTCCTGGAGAATGTTTCATATGCACTTGAGAAAAATGTCTATTTTGCTGGATGGAGTGTTCTGTATACATCATTTTGGTCCAGTTAGTCAATTTTAGTGGTCCAGTCCCCTGTTTCCTTATTAATCTACTTCCTGGTGGTTCTATTCAGTATTGACAGTGAGATACTGAAGTCACCCATTATTATCATGGAACTGTCTGTTTCTTCCTCTTAATTCTGTCAGTGCTTGCTTTATATATTTTCGAACTCTGATGTTTGGCACATACATGTTTATAATTGTTATGTCTTCTTGGTGAAGTTATACTTTCATTATCATTATATAATGTCCTTCTTTATTGCTTGTAACAGTTTTTGACTTGCAGTCTACTTTGGCTGTTTTTGTTATAGGCATCCCTGCTCTCTTTTGGTGATTATTTGCATGGAATGTCTTTCTTCATTTTTTTTTTTACTTTTAACCTGTGTGTTTTCTGTGATTTAACGTGATCTCTTGTAGACAGTATGTACTTGCATCCTGTTTTTTAATCCATTTTGTCACTTTAAGTTTTTAATTGAGAAAAAATATATTTACATTTAAAGTAAATACAGAAGGGGAGGACTTACTTTTGTCATATTGTTATTTGCTTTCTGTATGTCTTATAGCTTTTTAAATTCCTCGTTTCCTCCTTTAATGCTGCCCTTTGTGTTCAGTGGATTTTTGTGTGTGACATGCTTTGATTCCTCTATCATTTCCAGTTTTGTACATTTTACAAATGTTTTCTTTGTGATTACCATGGAGATTATGTATCATATCCTCAAGTTATAACAATCTATTTATTATTTCTTTGTTTTTTTAGACAGGGTCTTGCTCTGTCGCCTAGGCTAGTGTTGTGGTTGTAGCTCACTACAGCCTGGAACTCCTGTGCTCAAGTGATCCTCCTGCCTTGTCCTCCTGAGTAGCTGGGGCTACAGGAACACACCACTACACTCAGCTAATTTTTAAATTTTTTTGTAGAGGTGGGTCTTGCTGTGTTGCCCAGGCTATAACAGTCTATTTAAGATTGAGGCAGGTTGCATAGTCTTATGCCTGTAATCCCAGCACTTTGAGAGGCCAAGCTGGTAGGATTGCTTGAGGCCAGGAGTTTGAGACCAGCCTGGGCAACATAGGAAGACCCTGTCTCTACAATAAGTAAATAAATAATTAAATAAAATTAGCTGGGCGTAGTGGTGCATGTCTTTAGTCCTAGCTACTTGGGAAGTTAAGGTGGGAGGATAGTTTGAGCCTAGATAGTTGAGGCTATAGTGGGTTGTGATTATGCCACTGCACTCCAGCCTGGGTGACACAAAGTTTAAAAGTGAAAAATAAAGTTGATACCAAGTTAGGTTCAATTGCATGCAAAAACTCTACTTGTTTCCTGTTTTGCCCCCTCCAGTTTATCTTATTGATGTCCCAGATTATATTTTTATATATTCTATACCCATTAACAAAGAATTATAATTATTTCTTGTGCATTTGTCTTTTAACTTATGTAGAAAATAAATAGTAGAGTTATAAACCAAAATTCTAATAACATTTGCTTTATATTTGTCCATGTATTTATGTTTACTGGGATTATTATATTTCATTGTTAGCTGAAGCGATGTGCCTGAGATCCTAAGTAGAGAAGTCTCTTGAACTAAGACTGGGCCATTTAGATAATTTATTTCTAAATAGTTTTAGACTGTAGGTAGCCATTTAACTTCTTCCTTATAACAGCACCTTTTTTTCTCCCTTACAAATATTCAAACCTCAGGCACAGATCTATTTTAAAATTTAACTAAAGGCTTTTCTCATCTAACATCCAAACACTTCCAGGAGAGTTGCTACTAGCAAGGCTACATGAGAAGGCTTCATGCCTAGTTAAAGTGTACCAGGAAGAATAGAGGGAATTAGAGAGACCCTGGCCTTTTGCTGTATGGTACATGGTATGGACATTGTTTTTAATACTTACTATACTTAACATGTAAAAGGGAGAGACCCACACCCTTTTTTGTTGACCTTTACCTCATAGTGACTCTATAACAAGCATTGTCCAGGGCCCTAAATCTTACTCTCCTAGATTTTCTTTTCTTAGAAAATCAAAGCATGCACTGAGAGTCTTGCGGAAGAGGAATGCCTGGAATTTGGTTTAAGAGACAGAAGGAAAGAAAACCATGCTGTGTATTCCCTTGTTTTTTTCAAATCTAGCTTTAGATATGGTTCAATTTTAGAGAAAAGGCTTAAGTCTTTTCATTCCTCCCTCCTTATGTCCCCTGCTTGTTTACTCTTTTCTACTATTCTTGTGAAGTTTTTCATTCTGTGATGATAAAGATTAAAGATCTGTGTGATTTCTTGTTGTAAACATATGACTATGAATTGACATTTTTAAGCATAGTTTAAATACTTTCCTTCTTGGTAAGTTACAGGGTACTGGAAAAAGTAGGTGATCTTTCTCTGAGGGGAGAAAAGTGCAACTTTTATCTTCGTTTGGACTTGCTCTATCAACATATGATTAGGAAGAATTTAAGTCTCGTGATGCAGGGAATATGTATAGCATAGCAGGAATTAAAATAGCCGATTATAATAATATATCTATAATAATGTAATAAAGATTGATAATGGTTATAGATTCGGATCAGCTTATAGGTTAGTATAATTAAAATACAGGCCAGAAATGATAATGACTTAACTTACAAAGATGAAATCTTAGAATTTATTTGGTTTCTATTTTATAATATTGTGAGCAATATAAAGTGGATATGATATGTTAAATCCTGGAACTTCACGAGTGTCAGGAACATTCCCTTGAAAATTGAGCTGCATTAATTTGAAGGCAAATAAAAAGATACTTGCTATTTGGTAGGTACTGTTTTGGTACCCAGCATCTTTAGATTGCACAACTTGCAGATTTTTCAAGAAAGTGAAAATAAGTTTAAGTGCATTAAGAGGATCGATTCATAATGTTTAATGAAGTTAAACTACTCTGCTTGTGATTAATTACAAATATTTAGGGTGTTGGAAATAAAAGAAAGCTTGTAATTTTCTGTAGGACTCCAGTACAGTTTTAGAAAGATAACGTAAGTAATCAGTGTGCATACATGGAAAAAGTAATTTTTAGGGAAAATGCAGGGATAAAAATGGGGAGTGAAAACTTTCTCTCTCTCTCTGATAGTGAAAACTTTCTCTTTCTCTCTTTCTCAAAGGAGACTGTCAAGGCAATTAAAAGAATAATAAAGCACTCTGATGTGATTTTGTCCCATGATCTTTGCTATATAGTCTCGTGAGCAGGCTATTTGCACTGCCAAACCTTAGTTTTCTTATAGGAACCATATACATATAGGAACTTAAAATAAATAGAGAGCAAAAATAGGTTGTCTGCCTCATAGATTGTGAGGACTATTTACAATGATGCATGTAAAGTGCTTTCCTCAATGCCTGTCACATGAGAAACACTTGATTAGTAGTAATTGTCAATTGTATACAGTAAACAGTAGAAGAACATTACATGAAATAAAAACATAAACTTCTGAAAAATAATGAGGTTAGCCCATCTAATGAGACTGGTTAATAGGTAAGACAGAAATTGGAGTAGAGATTTTTAGTGTTTAAAATCACATTTGATTCAGATAATTTGAGAACAATCTTTTTAATTAGTGCACTTAAATCAGAATAATTCCTTTATAATTACTTATTTTTATCTTTTCAAAACAGATTCAAGATTTTTGGAAAGTTACCTCTTATTTCTTTACGAATCTCAGATAAAAAACTACAAGGGATTATGGAATTGGTTGAAAGCATTCCAAAACCTGAACCAGTAACTGAAGTATCTGCCCCTGTCAAATCATTCCAGGTAATGTGATTTTCAAAATTAATATAAGCATGAATTAGGAAAGTCCACTAATAGTATTTGAAACAATCACAGGAATTTTATGTAAGACAGTTTGCAATTTGTTTTGAATAGACATTAGGAAAATTACATTTTAAGAGAGAAACTGAAATGGTAAAAATTATAGTTAAGAAAGATATAAAATATAAATTGACTTTCCTAATTTTTGCTGCCTCCAATCCCTTTCCTGAGCGATAACACTGTTAACTACTGCTTCTCTAGTTTTTCAAAAAATATTTATGGCATATACTAGTACAGACATGCACAAGAACATGCATATGCATGTGTGTGTGTATGCAGTATGTGTATGTACACCTACATGTATATATTCTTTTTTTTTTTCTGAAACAGAGCCTCCCTCTGTCGCCCAGGCTAGAGTGCAGTGGTGCAATCTTGGCTCACTGCAATCTTTGCCTCCTGGGTTCAAGCAATTCTCTACCTCGGCCTCCTGAGTAGCTGGGATTACAGGTGCCTGCCACCACGCCCGGCTCATTTTTTTTTGCATTTTTAGTAGAGACGGGGTTTCACCATCTTGGCCAGGCTGGTCTTGAACTCCTGACCTTGTGATCCACCCGCCTCAGCTTCCCAAAGTGCTGGGATTGACAGGTGTGAGCCACCATGCCCGGCCTGTATTCTTATATTTTTAAAATTAAATGAAATCATTATACTCACTATTCTGAATCTGTATTATTTTTACCATTATTATCATATATGCCTTAAATAAACGTTTATGTTAGCACATACAGATCTACCTCATTTGTTTATGGTGATATAGTATTTCATTTTCTGCATATACCATCTTTTGCTTAATATATCTCCTTTTGATGGATAGTCACATTATGAGCGTTTATAGTTATGAAAAATACTGCTTTGAACTTCCTCATATATATATACATATATATATATATATTTGCTTATACTTTTATTCATAGAATAAATTTCTAGAAATGGAATTGTTGAATAAAAGAGTATGTGATTTTTGAATTTTGATTATTTTGCCAAAAACATTTTTTTTTGGGGGACGAGGTCTCCCTCATTTGCTCAGGCTGGAGTACAGTGGCGCAATCTTGGCTCACTGCAACCTCCATCTCCCAGGTTCCAGCAGTTGTGCCACCTCAGCCCCCAAGTAGCTGGGACTACAAGTGCGTGCCGCTACACTTAGCTGATTTTTGTATTTTTAGCAGAGTTAGGGTTTCCCCATGTTGGCCAGGCAGGTCTTAAAAGCCTGACCTCAAGTGATCTGCCTGCGTTGGGCTCCCAAAGTACAGAGATTACAGGTGTGAGCCACTGTGCCCAGCCCAAATTTGCTTAACTTATAGTTTGCTAACAGTAAATGAATATCTTTCTCTGGTTTCATTACTGAGTATTAGCAAATGTTAAAATTTTATTTGAAGTGAAAAATGTTATCTTCTGGTTTTGATATGCTTGTTTAAATGAGTAGAACATACTTTCCTAAATTTACTAATTTAATTTCTGTTTTTGGAAACTGCTGTTAATACCTTTTTTCTATTGGGTTATGGTTGTCTAATTAAGGAAATAACCTGTTTGTCATTTAAAATTCCTGTTTTTTCCTCATTTTGTTGTTTGATTTTTATCTCATATATAATTTTATCTCATATATAAATTTATTTTTGCCAGGCAAAAGCATTTTATTTTTTACATAGTCACTTTTTTTTCCTTCATGATTTCTAGATTGTATCATGTGACTTTTCCCTTGATATCTGAAATATCAGAATTTCAGAAAGAAAAAAATATATTCACATTTCTCTCCATTTTTGGGGGGTACAGAGAGAGTTCTTTACTCATGTTTAAATGCTTTTCTTTTGAAGTGGTTTCAAACTTGGAACATTCCAAAAATAGTGTTAATAACTTTTTTTTTTTAATTATACTTTAAGTTCTGGGATACATGTGCATAACATGCAGGTTTGTTACATAGGTATACATGTGCCGTGGTGGTTTACTGCACCCATCAACCCAGCATCTACGTTAGGTATTTCTCCTGATGCTATCTCTCCCCTAGCCCCCCACTGCTCAACAGGCCCCGGTGTGTGATATTCCCTTCCCTGTTTTCATGTGTTCTCATTGTTCAACTCCCACTTATGAGTGAGAACTTGCAGTGTTTGGTTTTCTGTTCCTGTGTTACTTTGCTGAGAATGATGGTTTCCAGCTTCATCCATGTCCCTGCAAAGGACATGAACTCATCCTTTTTTATGTTTGCATAGTATTCCATGTTGTATATGTGTCACATTTTCTTAATCCAGTCTGTCATTGATGGGAATTTGGGTTGGTTCCAAGTCTTTGCTGTTGTGAACAGTGCTGCATTAAACGTACATGTGCATGTGTCTTTATAGTAGAATGATTTATAATCCTTTGGGTATATACCCAGTAATGGGATTGCTGGGTCAAATGGGATTTCTGGTTCTAGATCCTTGAGGAATCACCATACTGTCTTCCACAATGGTTGAACTAATTTACACTCCCACCAACAGTGTAAAAGCATTACTGTTTCGCCACATCCTCTCTAGCATCTGTTGTTCCCCGACTTTTTAATGACCGACATTCTAACTGGCATGAGATGGTATCTCATTGTTGTTTTGATTTGCATTTCTCTAATGACCAGTGATGATGACCTTTTTTTCATATGCTTGTTGGCCGCATAAATATCTTCTTTTGAGAAGTGTCTGTTCATATCTTTCACCCAGTTTTTGATGGGGTTGTTGGTTTCTTACTTGTAAATTTTTTTCGGTTCTTTGTAGATTCTAGATATTAGCCCTTTGTCAGATGGATAGATTGCAAAAATTTTCTCCCATTCTGTAGGTTGCCTGTTCACTCTGTTGATAGTTCCTTTCGCTATGCAGAAGCTCTTTAGTTTAATTAGATCCCATTTATCAATTTTGGCTTTTGTTGCCATTGCTTTTGGTGTTTTAGTCATGAAGTCTTTGCCTATTCCTGTGTCCTGAATGGTATTGTCTAGGTTTCCTTCTAGAGTTTTTATGGTTTTAGGTCTTGCATTTACGTCTTTAATCCATCTTGAATTAATTTTTGTATAAGGTCTAAGGAAGTGGTCCAGTTTCAGTTTTCTGCATATGGCTAGCCAGTTGTCCTAGCACCATTTATTAAATAGGGAATCCATCCCCCATTGCTTGTTTTTGTCAGGTTTGTCAAAGATCGGATGGTTGTAGATGTGTGGGGTTATTTCTGAGGCCCCTGTTCTGTTCCATTGGTCTATATCTCTGTTTTGGTACCAGTGCCATGCTGTTTTGGTTACTGTAGCCTTGTAGTATGGTTTGAAGTTAGGTAGTGTGATGCCTCCAGCTTTGTTCCTTTGCTTAGGATTGTCTTGGCTATATGGGCTCTTTTTTGGTTCCATATGAAATTTAAAGTAGTTTTTTTCAAATTCTGCGAAGAAAGTCAATGATAATTTGATGGGGATAGCATTGAATCTATAAATTACTTGGGGCAGTATGGCCATTTTCACAATATTGATTCTTCCTATTCATGAGCATGGAATGTTTTTCCATTTGTTTGTGTCTTCTCTTATTTCCTTGAGCAGTGGTTTGTAGTTCTCCTTGAAGAGGTCCTTCACATCCCTTGTAAGTTGTATTCCTAGGTATTTTATTCTCTTTGTAGCAATTGTGAATGGGAGTTCACTGATTATTTGGCTCTCTGTTTGTCTGTTATTGGTGTATAGAAATGCTTGTGATTTTTGCACATTGATTTTGTATCGTGAGACTTTGCTGAAGTTGCTTATCAGCTTAAGGAAATTTTGGGCTGAGGCATTGGGGTTTTCTAAATATACAGTCATGTCATCTGCAGACAGAGTCGATTCGATTTCCTTTCTTCCTTTTTGAATACCCTTTCTTTCTCTTGCCTGATTTCCCTGGCCAAAACTTCTAATACTGTGTTGAATAGGTGTGGTGAGAGAGGGCAGTCTTGTCTTGTACCAGTTTTCAGAGGCAATGCTTCCAGGTTTTGCCCATTCAGTATGATATTGTCTGTTGCTTTGTCATAAATAGCTCTTAGTATTTTGAGATACATTCCATGAATACCTAGTTTATTGAGAATTTTTAACTTGAAGGGGTGTTGAATTTTATCAAAGGCTTTTTCTGAATCTATTGAGGTAATCGTGTGGTTTTTGTCATTGGTTCAGTTTATGTGATGGATTACGTTTATTTATTTGCATATGTTGAACCAGCCTTGCATCTCAGGGATGAAGCCAGCCTTAATTGTGGTTGATTAAGCTTTTTGATGTGCTGCTGGATTTGGTTTGCCAGTATTTTATTGAGGATTTTCACATTGATGTTCATCAGGGATATTAGCCTGAAATTTTCTTTTTTGTGTGTGTCTCTGCCAGGTTTTGGTAGCAAGATGAGGCTGGCCTCATGAAATTAGTTAGGGAGGAATCCCTCCCACTTTTTCCATTGTTTGGAGTAGTTTCAGAAGGAATGGTACCAGCTTCTCTTTGTGCCTCTGGTAGAATTTGCTGTGAATCTTTCTGCTCATGGGCTTTTTTTCATTGGCAGGCTATTAATTACTGCGTCAATTTTGGAACTTGTTATTGGTCTATTCAGGGATTCGACTTCTTCCTGGTTTAGTCTTGAGCGAGTGTATGTGTCCAGGAATTTATCCATTTCTTCTGGATTTTTCTAGTTTATTTGTCTAGAGGTGTTTATAGTATTCTCTGATAGTAGTTCGTAGTTCTGTGGAATCAGTGGTGATATCCCCTTTAGCATTTTTTAATTGTGTCTGTTTGATTCTTCTCTCTTTTCTTCTTTATTAGTCTGGCTAGTGGTCTGTGTATTTTGTTAATCTTTTTTAAAAACCAGCTCCTGGATTCATTGATATTTTTGAAGGGTTTTTCGTGTCTCTGTCTCCTTCAGTTCTGCTCCGATCTTAGTTATTTCTTGTCTTCTGCTAGCTTTTGAATTTGTTCTTGCTTCTCTTGTTCTTTAATTGTGATGTTA